GATGCCTCAGTTAATGTAATTTTATTGGTATCTATTTTTATTTTGAAATTGACCCATAGCTACTGCATTTTCTACTCTCGGCTTATACTCAAGTCAATACCTTTTCCCAGTTTTTTGTGGTAAAATTAGGTGCATCGGCTTATATTTGGGTCGGCTTATACTCGAGTATATACGGAAATGTTCTCCCACTTTCAATGTAAAAGGAACTATTTTCTTATAACTTTATTTTTTCAATTAATAATAATAATAATAATAATAATAATAATAATAATAATTTTATTTTTGCATCCCACCACCATCTCCTCGAAGAGACTTGGGGCGGCTTACATATTCCCTTACTTTCCATCAGCTTCTTTATAGTTTGAAATAACAGTCTCTCCTTCCCACATTTAACTATCTGTTCTCTAAATAAAGGAATAAATAACTTGATTTATATTTTGCCCTATCTCCCCGAGGGGACTCAGGGTGGATTCAAACATCAGAAGGCAAAYATTCAATGCCTATATGATAATAAATACAAATATAGATAGACACCCCCCCCCCCCGGAACCCAAAATGTTTAGACAGTGACACACATATATCAAAATAAGCCCACAAGTCTAACAAGGAGACTTGTTTTTGTAAGTGAAGATTTCATCAAAGTTCCTTGGTTTGCTTTGAAAAATCTGAACTATGATTTACTGCGGTTTCATCAGATTGCCCAATTGTTTCTCTCCCCACTTTTTTTTTGGGGGGGGGGGTATTTTTAATGTTTCTTCGCCTACCTGTTTCCCAATCCCTCTCCCTCATCCAGCCCAATGCTCTGGCAATAGAGGGAGTGGGGAAAAAACAGTTCGGAACCAATGTGACAGCCTCACTTACTTGAATGGGCCGGATCCTTCCGCCAGGCATTGCGCATCACAAAAGGGCAAAAAATAGTCCCTGGCCATAGTGCTCAATGCATGCAAACATGCTCCTTGTAAATCCTTCCTCACATAATACAGCCTGAGCATCCTTTATCTGGCAAATACAAAATACAAGCCTCAATAATAACGCCAATTATAATAGAAAGGAAATCCCCCCCCCAAAAATTTAAAAAAATGGAATGGATTTTTAAAAACTAAGGGAAAAAATCTAGATAAAATAGGGGATTGGATAAAGGTTGTTATGAAGAAGGAAATGCTGATGGAGGAATTTAAGGAAATAAAATGATCATGGTTCCACTGTATACAACTAGAACAATGGCTCAAGAATTGGGTAAAAAAAATAATAGAAATGGACATAATCTTACCCAATTTGAGCAAATAGTACAAAATGGAAGAAATATGGAAGGCCATAAAATTGAAAGTAAAATATATAAGATAATAGTTAAAATAAAAGAAGAAAAAAACAAAGAATAATATCCTTAAGGAGATATGGGAAGAAAACTTAGGGATCAAAATAAGTGATATGGAGTGGACACAATTATGGGAACAAAGGCATTTAAAAAACTTATCAATACATGTTTTATTGTATTATCGTATCAGAAGCAAACCAAGGGTACAGTTGTCATGTATTTAAAAAACACCAAGTTTTTTAAAAAATGGCATTGTACTAAATGTCCTTTGACCAGAAGCTGGGTCACTTGAACTGCCTCTGGTGTTGCTACAAGAAGGTCCTCCATTGTGCATGTGGCCGGGCTCAGACTGCATTGTAATTGGTGATTTTTGGTTTGCTCTTCTCCACACTCGCAT